CAAAGTTTACTAAATAATAATACTAAATATATACCAGCAGACTGTTGTTTAAAAATCTAACGTATTCACCTGGACATTTAATAGGTTTAATGAAATAATGCATAGCACATTGTACCTTGTGTGTTCATAACATATGTTTAATTTAATTAAGAGGCTACTTCTTTTTTTATATATATATATATTTCACAATATCCATCAAAGTTTACTAAATAATAATACTAAATATATACCAGCAGACTGTTGTTTAAAAATCTAACGTATTCACCTGGACATTTAATAGGTTTACTGAAATAATGCATAGCACATTGTACCCTGTGTGTTCATAACACATGTTTAATTTAATTAAGAGGCTACTTCTTTTTTATATATATATATTTCACAATATCCATCAAAGTTTACTAAATAATAATACTAAATGTATACCAGCAGACTGTTGTTTAAAAATCTAACGTATTCACCTGGACATTTAATAGGTTTACTGAAATAATGCATAGCACATTGTACCCTGTGTGTTCATAACATATGTTTAATTTAATTAAGAGGCTACTTCTTTTTTTTATATATATATATTTCACAATATCCATCAAAGTTTACTAAATAATAATACTAAATGTATACCAGCAGACTGTTGTTTAAAATATAACGTATTCACCTGGACATTTAATAGGTTTACTGAAATAATGCATAGCACATTGTACCCTGTGTGTTCATAACATATGTTTAATTTAATTAAGAGGCTACTTCTTTTTTTAAATATATATATTTCACAATATCCATCAAAGTTTACTAAATAATAATACTAAATATATACCAGCAGACTGTTGTTTAATATCTAACGTATTCACCTGGACATTTAATAGGTTTACTGAAATAATGCATCGCACATTGTACCCTGTGTGTTCATAACATATGTTTAATTTAATTAAGAGGCCACATCTTTTTTTTATATATATATTTCACAATATCCATCCCCTCGTTAAGTATAATAGGCGCACGCTCATTGTTATTCACATTGCATTATATAGGCCTAATGTGTTCGTGTTTCTTGCTCTTAATGAAGGAATAAGCATACTGTAACACATGTTTTGTTTGTATTAAAATACTGTCATCATTTTATAGCAAAATGCTAGGTTTTTATAGTTTTAATCTAATGCTGAAATGGCATTAAATTAAAATTGACATTTTACTATTTGTTAATATCTTAACGTATTTTTCGCCATTGTCAATTTGTTTGTTTTTTTTTTTTTTTTTTTTTTTTGTAAGTTTTGATGTAATTTTACCCTTTTTAACCAAGACTGCTGCAAAGAAAAAACAAATTCCTATTTTAAAATGACAATAAAGTGTTCTTGAATCTAGAATCTTTCTTATAGGTAGGCAACATCTGTCAACTTGTATAAATTGATCAGATGCTCTGTGCATCGCGAGGGACCTAGTGTTCGATTTTTAAAAAATATTGAAATTAAAATTAGATTTTTGGCGACCTTCACTTAATTATCTCTCAGAAGTTATAATTATTCTGTAAAATCTTGCTTTGGGTGGAGTAAAATAACGAACTAGATGATAAACTTAATATTAAAAGCAACCGTTTTAATATACATTAAATGATTAATTGTTTAATTTATGATTTTGAATTAGTTCACAGTCACATTCATATGTATACTGTAATTATAGAAAAAATTAAAGTATCAACAATAAATGAAAATATGAAAATGAGATGTAATGAATTACATTGGAAACAAACTTTTAACATGTAATAATATAATTAATTCTTTAAAAAAATCTTAATCTAGGCCTAAGAAAATTTTAGATGTAAAAATATCCCCCGCTGGACATTATCCCGGTATTTCTGAATAGAGGTTTCGGGGCCTGAACAAACATTGCCAGTACAAGTAAAATGTTTTACTGTGTTCGATGTCGAATATATGAAGGTGTGTTGGGGGTCTTTGTTGACTCGCAAGATGATAGAAGTCAAATTAGGCCTACATTCGGTAGACTTTAGTTTCTTGTTTTCTTATATTGTAATCACCATCAATCTTCTTGTTTTAAGTCTTTTCTATAAGATTCTTTTCTGAATCTAAATATTCTTCTCTGTTATAAGTATTCTTCTGATCTCCTTAAATCACTTTTGTAATCACTCCTAACAATCTTTGTATTCTCTCTTCTATCTATCGACACACATTGACTCATCAACTACCTGTTTGTGACTCATTGACTGCCTGATTGAATAACCTTTCTTGTAGTTTACCAAAGGTTACTAGGGCTGGAGTGTACCTGTTGTTACCAATTTAATGTGGTGGCTTTCTTTGGAATTTATACGTGTAAATTACCGTTAAACCATTAATCCCGGGATATGATAGTAATAACTCCGATGATTGTCTGGGTTTTAGGAGATATGCAGTTTCAGATATCATCGCTCTTAAATCTCATTGGTGGAATTATCAGATACATGAGATTATTGGTCGGAATGAGAACTGAGAGCCTCCTTGCTGAGAGCCTATTTAATGCACTTGCAGTCGACAATTATCATATATGTGGGAGAGCATTGGTGATCTTTCTTCAGTTTATTTCAGCATTCCAGTATTACAATTTCATATTAGTTTATTGCAGCTTCCAAAGACGTAAGTTTCACATTTATTCTAATAAATTACATTCAAACGTTGTATAAAATAACCCTTGTTACTTAGGGTTGAATTGTCAATGCATTTTAATCTTTTCTACATGGACCTTATGTTTTAGGTCCCGTTTTAAGTACTGAACACAATAACTTCTTAACTGTGTACAGGACATACGGTACTGAAGCGAACCTTTTAGGCGAATATTTATTTCATAATTTTGTATAAGCTAATTTCAAACTTATTTGGGGTTGAATTCACTTTGTAAAATAAGACTGGTACTATCTGTTTCAGTATCTGGAAAAGCACAATTTATAGTCATAGAAGTTTAATCAAATTCGATATCTAAATCTTGGGGTGGGGGCATATACTTAAGTATGTGTTCTAAAGAACTTAAGGTAGTGAGTTCGAATCGCGTATTTAACAAGTTTAAATCGCGTATTTTTTTTTTCCATTTTGTCAAACAGTTGTTATCCATGTTCATTAAAAAAGAAAATTAACACGGAGTAGCAATTCGAACTCGCGACCTTCGATTGAGGATGTGTTCTAAAGAAAGGTTGTGAGTTCGAAACGAGTCTTGGTATTCAATATTTTTTTTCAGTGTTAAAATCCAATCAACTTTTATTTCAGATATTGTATCCATATAGCACACAAATAAGTATAAATATATAAGAAAAATAAAAATATCCGAGCAGTTCTTCTTCTTCTTCACGATGCTATAGGCCGGCCTAGACCTACTGAAGTGAAACTTTTAGGCCTACTTATTTCCTTCGTGATTCTTTTGAATAAGCCAAATTCCAACTTAATTTGGGGTTGAATTCACATTGTTAAATGAGACCGATGATAGGCCTATCTCTTTTGGAAAGTCACAAGAAAATAGCCATACTGAGAAAAAAAAGAATCAAATATGTTAATTTGTTAAGGAATATTTTACTTTGATAAACCTTTAAAAGAAGTTTATTCAAATTCGATAACAAAAATCTTAGGGTGACGTAAACTTCGACACTCATTCCTTTACATAATTCCCAATTAATGTCAATTCAAAGGAAGCGTTCTATTCGTATACCAACATCTATTGCAGTTGAATTATATTTATGCTTGATTTCAATTTCACGATTTTTGTGTTTTAACAGAATGATCCCATTGGTGGTCTTCTTGACGGCTGTCGTCGTATCATCTGCACTTCCTGTGACAAAACAAGAATCGGACGCAGACAGCAGCGAATACGACGTAAAAAACATTGCAAATTTTGACCTGCATCTTGAGGACGGTGAGATTGAGAAGATTACGGAAGACATTAATAAAATGATAGTTGGTGGACAAGACTTCACGCAGAAGCAAGGACTTGAAACTGTAACTTCAAAACCCATGGAAGGATATTTGTCTGATAATGACAACGTACTCCTGGAAATGCTTGAACATGAACTAAAACTAAACTCGGACAGCTCCCTCAGGCAGAAAATTGCTGAGGCCCAGGAGAAGGTTAGGAAAGAACAATATGAGTATTTAAAACATTTAGAAGAGTCTATGGATAGAATGCAGCTGCAGCGGCAGCAGCAAACCGAAGACAAAATAACTGGGTTTATAGGCCTAAATTACAATTTGCTTTGTGTTCCAACAGTCCGGCCCGAATTCGCTAAACAGTGCGAAATGCTTGCAAAAATGCTTGTTTGAGCAGTTTTTTAACGTAACATCTTTAATATTGTCCGATTTTTGTGGCTGTTTTTTTTTTGTAACGTGTTGCTTATTTATTCAGCTATAATTTCATGTTATTGTTAATTTTGAAGTTTTGAAAAAATTTGGGAACGGTGAATGAGACACAGATTTTTGAATATTTAGAAAATGGGGGAAAGGGGGACGTACCCGCCCTTTTTTACACCTTTTCCTCCCAGTTTTTATATATTTAAAAATCTGTGTCTCTTTCACCGTTCCCAAGTTTTTCGTCAAACAACTTTTCCTTTCTTAAGAAAGATCAGTAATACAACATATAGATTTTTTTCTCTTTCAGTCTGACTCCTACCTATTTACACAATTTTGCGATTACAAAAATAAAGAGGATCCCAGCAGGAGCGTGTGTCTATGCACTATTACTGCCTTAACTCAAGGAATTAACTGTACTATGTTTAGGCAAGGAGGTTAAAATAGAATTTATTTTAACCTCCTTGGTTTAGGCCTATTAATAAAGTATCCACATGGGATTCAATTATCAGGAAATGTGTGGTGTATTTTTTGTTTATGACTTTTGTACAGTAGACCTAATAAGGTACTTAAGGTGACACATGAGATATCATGCACCTCCACCGGATTTACCCTTTCCATCTTTTAACTGCCAGATCATAACATAGTAGACACAAATAGACACAAAAATCAGTCTCATTTCTGAACGCGTGGGCGATTGTAACTGCTGTTTCTTTACATAAAAATAGATTAATCAAACTACAGAATCTGTTAAGCTAAAAATCAATTCGATTAGATGAGAGGTCCCCCCTTCGGCAAAGATATTTGATATTTATTAGGAATCACTTTAGAGTCAGTCGCACTCGCTCGTTTCCGAGTGGTGCATCTATAAATAATATACAAAACGAAGATCGAAAAACGAAGAAAACTAAGTCAAATACATTAATAAAACTAATATATAGGCATATATATAATATATATATATATATATATTATATATATACACCGTCATACAGCACACATACATACAGTATATATATTCTTAACTAACGTTTCATAAGTTAATCACAACTAAGGATCCCTTATGACTATCTTATGACCTTAATTAGACTTGAAAATTAAACAATTGAAAATTATTAAAATTCAGAGCGAATGTAAAGTAATACAACAAAGATATACATATTTATACTGTAAATATGGTACAACTGAAAAACAGTTTAAGTTATGGGGATGATTAAACATTACTGTACCGTTATACATGAGGTCAGTCTTAATATTTACAAATATACTGCAGCCAGAATGAGGCATAGAAATAGAGCAATCGGTGGTGATAAATTTACAAATTTGACATCTAGGCTTGTGGCATTTGGTATTACCAGCGGACCTACAGGATGAAAGTAAGCGAGATGAAGATAGAATAGATTTGAGATTGGGCGGTTGGCGGTTGGCTACTACTGGGGGATCATTGAAAATAGTGTTTATGGAGGGATCGAGTTTGAGGGATTGAAATCCTTGTTTAAATCTGTTAGCTATTTGGGAATTACTGGGACTGTAATCAATGACTAGGGGTATGCGTTCCGTGATGGGCTTAGGATTGGGAGAGAGGAGAGAAGGTCTAGAAAACCTATTAGCTCTAGAAGTTTGCTTGAGGATGAATTTAAGAGGATAACCTTTATCCAGAAAGTAGGCCGTGAGCTTGTTGACGTGATCAAAGTAGTCATCATCGTTGGAACAAATTCGTCTGATGCGAAGACATTGGCTGAATATCAATGACTGTTATAGTTAAGATAACAGTGACGATCGGTGGGCAAAGAAGTCGAGAGTTGCCCGTCTGTAACCTTGACAGAGACATCGAGGAACGGGAGAGTGTGTTGAGAGTGTTCAAACGTACGTGAATTTAATAGTGTGATGGAAAGTGTTCGCATGAGTTTTAAAAAGCTCAAGCGTATCAATGCCATGGTTCCATAGAAAAAAAATGTCGTCAATGTATCTGACATAATGCATGGGTTTGAGATGAAAACTGTTGATAAGTTTCTCCTCGAGGGAAGCCATGAAGGCATTAGCATAATTGGGGGCCATTTTAGTACCCATGGCAGTACCGCTGATCTGAAGGTAGTGTTGATCTTTAAATATAAAATTATTATGGGTAAGTATGAACCTAGAAATAGATAAAATATCCTGGATATGATCTAATGAAAACGAGTTTTTGCTGTGCAACGATTCAAGGGCGGCTAGGCCTTCAGCATGGGGGATGTTCGTGTACAGGGATGTGACATCCATGGTGACCAATAGAGCATCCGTCTGAAGGTTAGGGATTTGTGAGAGACTGTTGAGAAAGTGCGTGGTATCTTTGATGTAGCTGGGGATGGAGGGGATGAAAGGTTTAATAACAGAATCCACGTAACCGGATAGGTGTTCAGTAAGCGTTCCTACATTGGAGATGATATACACAGTCATACAGCACACATACATACAGTATATATATTCTTAACTGACGTTTCATAAGTTAACCACAAATGGTCCTTAATAACAACTAAGGATCCCTTATGACTATCTTATGACCTTAATTAGACTTGAAAATTAAACAATTGAAAATAATTAAAATACGTGCGAATGTAAAGTAATACAACATACAAGATATACATATTTATACTCTAAATATGGTACAACTGAAAAACAGGTTAAGTTATGGGGATGATTAAACTTTACTGTACCGTTATACATGAGGTCAGTCTTAATATTTGCAAATATACTATTTAATACTACTGTATTACGTGGTATAAAATTCTGACCGACGTCGCCATGTATTTGTTAAATATTGTTTACAGTTCCTGTCTACAATTTGACCTAGAATCAAGTTATCATCTTAAAAATTATCTAAATGAAATGCCATTTATAATCAATGGAACCATTAATAAAATTAACCCAATGTATTTTTAAGTCATTATCATACAATTGATTTTGAATTTCTTTAAATGATTTAACTCTAATTTTATAAAGTACCGGTACTTTACAATCAAATAAAAAGTGGACTACTGTTTCATTTTTATTTTCTTTACACAATTTACAAAATCCGTTGTTGTTATTGACTAAGATTCTTTTCTAGCTTCCAGGTCAAGACAGTTAGAGCATGTTTTAAATTTAAGTTGATTCCGTAAAAATCTAATTTATCAAAAGATACCGGTATGATTAATATGTAGGGGCTCTTTACATTATATAGTTTTGAAGTGTAGATTTTTGTTGGGCTCTGATAAGCCAATCTTTGCCATCGTTATTTCTGTGGTTAATTTTAACGTTTTGGACCAGGCTTTATAGCTGGTTCACAATCATAAAAGGTCTCCAGACCAGGTAATGGTTATCGGCACTGCCGCAGTGCCGATTTGGCACTGGTGCGAAAAAAAAAGCTGCTGTTTTCTATCGGCACTGCCGCAGTGCCAAAAAGCTGCCGTTTCCTATCAGCACTGCCGCAGTGCGAAAAAGTTGCTGTTTTCTATCGGCACTGCCACAGTGCGAAAAGTTGCTGTTAATTAATCGAATCGATGTTTTTATCGATAGATGACATTAGTATAATTCATAGTTTATAATTTTATTTTACTCTAAACGTAATGACACTGGCAGGCAAAAAAGGGAACACGTCCCTGTACAAGATGCCAACCAGAGAAGCAATGATAATGGCAAAGGCATAATAATATAGAGTAATGATAATATAATAATAATAATAATAATAATAATAATAATAATAATAATAATACAGACAATAATATTAAATAAATAATAATAATGAATGAAGATCAAAATATAGCATTGAAAATAATAATAATAATAATAATAATAATAATAATAATAATAATAATAATAATAATAATAATAATAATAATAATAATACAGAATAATAATAAATAAATAATAATAGAAAGTAATAATAATGGATGAAAATCAAAATATAGTGAATTCAGTTAGTCATTGAAACAAGATTTGGAGGGCTGGACTGTCATGAAGGTGTGTAATGATGTTCTACATATTTGGCTTTATTAATAATTGACTAGGTCTAGCTTAGATTATATTATTGTTAACATTATATTATTTTTGTTTTACAATTAGTAAGTATAATTACTTCTCATTAAATTATTAAATATATACCGGTATTATATATACCTAGGCATATACATAAAACAAACAAACAAAAAACAAACAATAATAATAATGATAATAATAATAATAATATTAATAATAATAATAATAATAATAATAATAATAATTTTACCATAGTTTGATTAATGAGATAATAATAATCAGCATATTAAATAAAATTACGTCCATACAAAACATGCTGTGTTGTTCTTTGTGCAAATTTAAATCGTTTTTATGGGACCCACTTTTTATGGCTTATCCTATTAATTAATCAGGGTTGTTTGTTGCATTTTTGCCTTTCTTGTCCTGTTGTTTTAATTACATGATTAATGAATAAATTCAATTCAAACTAATCAGAATTGATTGGAAATTGGACTAGAGAATATTGCCAAAATTATTAGCCAATGTTCCAAAAGATAATGGTTCCTACGATTTCTCAAAATAATTTAGGCATGTTAAAGTGTTTTATGCTCTTAACAGAATTAATTACAGAATTCACTCAAAGTTGTGGTATTTCATTTTTATTTTATTCAATGTCCAGGTAGATCTATTAATAATGATACAATGAGAATACAATACTTTGCACGTATATAAGATATATAAAAAATGAAATAGAACAACTACAATAATAATGTAATCAAATCGTAACATTCATGCATTTACACTGCTTAATACAGTCATGGGGGTATGATAGAGTATATCAACAAAGGTAAATTATTTATCACTCAATGCTGTATATGTTCTTCTTACAGGGAGATAATAATACTAAGTAAAGTGGGTTGACACACTTGAGTTGTAAATCCACAGAATTGGAATTCAATAAAATAAATTAATAAAGCCTTGTAAGTCTACTTTAAAATCACTTTAGCACTTGAAGATAAAAATGTATATTTAATTCTCTGAACTATAGTTTAAGAAACGTTTAAAAATAATATATTCACATAATGCTATATGCAATTCAATTTTCAACACACTGCTGAGTTACCAACATTGCTTCCGCAATCATCTAACGTCAAATGCAATGCATACAGTCAGTCTCGTATACATTTATATAGGGTAATGTATGCTAATTAGGCTTCCAATCTGGCTTAAGCAATGGCCTTCATTTTGATTGGTCGGACTTAAGAAATATTCCCGCCTACGAACCATACAGATTGTTATTGCCAGCTATTGGCTACTGATATTTGTAAAA